ATTTGCTATACACAAAAGAATTGTGTTGCAGGTAAAACTTTTTTTTTTCTCTCCTCAAAATATTGTTAAAAATACTATTACCATGGATTATAACAATAATATAAACATTTTATTTAATGAAGTGAAAATATTCAAAGTTCACCAAAAGTTGTCTTCAATTAGATTATTTTTCAAAATTGTTTCTTGTTTACTGATTTTTTTAAAATTTTTTTCTTAAAAATTTTCTTAAAAAATTACATTTTCCTTAAAATTAAGTGGTTGAAAATAATGAGATTGTTTTGGTTTAGATTACATTTAAAATGTGGATTTCTGTAAATTCATCAGATATATATTTTGAACACTTTTCTATCAAAGCTATTTTATTTATTGATGTTGTCAGAACTTGTTAAATAAGTCATATGGTATATTAAAAAAGTTACATAACTTAGAAAGCCTGATCCTAGAAATTAAAGAAATATTCTGTTTACTATTTTGCATTTCTTGGTTGGACTTGTTTAATTTCTTTATTATTTTTATTTAGGTATTTCATAGTTTGTTGAAAGCTCATGCTGCTGAAGCTAGGGCTGTAGTAAGACAAGCTCTGGAAATTCTCACACCAGCATTTCCCGGTAGAATGGAAGATGGAAATGTATGTTGATCTGTTGAGATTTTTACACATTCTTTTAATAACAATACCTTAGAACTTGATACACTTTTTTTTCTTTATCATTTTTCTTTCTCTCCCTCTTTATCGTTTTTCTTTCTCTCTCTCTCTCTTTATCGTTTTTCTTTCTCTCTCTCTTTATCGTTTTTCTTTCTCTCTCTCTCTATCGTTTTTCTTTCTCTCCCTCTTTATCGTTTTTCTTTCTCTCCCTCTTTATCGTTTTTCTTTCTCTCCCTCTTTATCGTTTTTCTTTCTCTCTCTCTCTCGTTTTTCTTTCTCTCTCTCTCTCTCTCTCGTTTTTCTTTCTCTCTCTCTCTCTCTCGTTTTTCTTTCTCTCTCTCTCTCTCGTTTTTCTCTCTCTCTCTCTCTCGTTTTTCTTTCTCTCTCTCTCTCGTTTTTCTTTCTCTCTCTCTCATTTTTTTTTTTCTCTCTCTCTCGTTTTCTTTCTCTCTCTCTCTCATTTTTCTTTCTCTCTCTCATTTTCTTTCTCTCTCTCATTTTTTCTCTCTCTCTCTCTTTTTTTTCTCTCTCTCTCTCATTTTTCTTTCTCTCTCTCGTTTTTCTTTGTCTCTCTCGTTTTTCTTTGTCTCTCTCGTTTTTCTTTGTCTCTCTCGTTTTTCTTTGTCTCTCTCGTTTTTCTTTGTCTCTCTCGTTTTTCTTTGTCTCTCTCGTTTTTCTTTCTCTCTCTCTCGTTTTTTCTTTCTCTCTCTCGTTTTTCTTTGTCTCTCTCGTTTTTCTCTCTCTCTCTCATTTTTCTCTCTCTCTCATTTTTCTTTTTCTCTCTCTTTGTTTTTTCTTTGTCTCTCTCGTTTTTTTTTTCTCTCTCTCATTTTCTTTGTCTCTCTCATTTTTCTTTGTCTCTCTCATTTTTCTTTGTCTCTCTCTTTTTTTCTTTGTCTCTCTCGTTTTTTCTTTGTCTCTCAGTTTTTCTTTTTCTCTTTTTCTTTCTCTCTTTTTCTCTCTCTCTCGTTTTTTCTTTCTCTCTCTCATTTTTCTTTTCTCTCTCATTTTCTTTCTCTCTCTCTCTTTCTTTTTCTCTCTCTCTCTATCGTTTTCTTTTCTCTCTCTCTCTCTATCATTTTTCTTTCTCTCTCTCTCTCTATCTTTTTCTTTCTCTCTCTCTCTCTCTCTCTCTCATTTTCTTTCTCTCTCTCTCTCTATCATTTTTCTTTCTCTCTCTCTCTCTATCATTTTCTTTTCTCTCTCTCTCTCTATCGTTTTTCATTTCTCTCTCTCTCTCTCTCTTTTCTTTCTCTCTCTCTCTCTTCTTTTTTTCTCTCTCTCTCTCTCTATCATTTTCTTTTCTCTCTCTCTCTCTATCATTTTTCTTTCTCTCTCTCTCTCTATCGTTTTTCTTTCTCTCTCTCTCTCTATCGTTTTTCTTTCTCTCTCTCTCTCTCTATTTTTTCTTTCTCTCTCTCTCTCTATCGTTTTTCTTTCTCTCTCTCTCTCTCTATCGTTTTTCTTTCTCTCTCTCTCTCTCTATCGTTTTTCTTTCTCTCTCTCTCTCTCTATCGTTTTTCTTTCTCTCTCTCTCTCTATCGTTTTTCTTTCTCTCTCTCTCTCTATCATTTTTTTCTTTCTCTCTCTCTCTATCATTTTCTTTCTCTCTCTCTCTCTATCATTTTCTTTCTCTCTCTCTCTCTCTATCATTTTTCTTTTCTCTCTCTCTCTCTCGTTTTTCTTTTTCTCTTTCTCTCTCTCTCTCTCTATCATTTTCTTTTTCTCTCTCTCTCTCTATTTTTTCTTTTCTCTCTCTCTCTATCATTTTCTTTCTCTCTCTCTCTCTATCGTTTTCTTTCTCTCTCTCTCTATCATTTTCTTTCTCTCTCTCTCTCTATCATTTTCTTTCTCTCTCTCTCTCTCATTTTTTTTTTCTCTCTCTCTCTCTATCATTTTCTTTCTCTCTCTCTCTATCATCATTTTTTCTTTTCTCTCTCTCTCTCTATCATTTTCTTTCTCTCTCTCTCTCTATCATTTTTTTTCTTTCTCTCTCTATCATTTTCTTTCTCTCTCATTTTCTTTCTCTCTCTCTCTCTATCATTTTTCTTTCTCTCTCTCTCTCTATCATTTTCTTTTCTCTCTCTCTCTATCATTTTTCTTTCTCTCTCTCTCTCTATCGTTTTTCTTTCTCTCTCTCTCTCTATCGTTTTTCTTTCTCTCTCTCTCTCTATCGATTTTCTTTCTCTCTCTCTCTCTATCGTTTTTCTTTCTCTCTCTCTCTCTATTTTTTTTTTCTTCTCTCTCTCTATTTCTTTCTCTCTTCTTTTTTCTTTCTCTCTCTCTCTCTATCATTTTCTTTCTCTCTCTCTCTATCATTTTCTTTCTCTCTCTCTCTCTATCATTTTTCTTTCTCTCTCTCTCTCTATCATTTTCTTTCTCTCTCTCTCTCTATCATTTTTTCTTTTTCTCTCTCTCTCTCTATCGTTTTCTCTCTCTCTCTCTCTATCGTTTTCTTTCTCTCTCTCTCTCTATCGTTTTCTTTCTCTCTCTCTCTCTATCGTTTTCTTTTCTCTCTCTCTCTATCGTTTTTTCTTTCTCTCTCTCTCTATCGTTTTTTTCTTTCTCTCTCTCTCTATCGTTTTTCTTTCTCTCTCTCTCTCTATCGTTTTTCTTTCTCTCTCTCTCTCTATCGTTTTTCTTTCTCTCTCTCTCTCTATCGTTTTTCTTTCTCTCTCTCTCTCTATCGTTTTTCTTTCTCTCTCTCTCTCTATCGTTTTTCTTTCTCTCTCTCTCATATATATATATATATATATAATCTCTCCTTATCTCTCTATCATTTCTCTTTATCATTGTCTCTCTCTCTCTCATCTCTTTATCATCTCTCTCTCTCTTTATAAAATATTTTTATTTAATTTCAATTTTTAAAAATTTTTGCTAGCATAATTTGCTGCAGGCCATGAATTCTTCTGTAATTGTAGGCTATAATTATATCTTCCATAATCATTGAATTAGTCAAGATACAACCAAAATTTGTTCATTTTTAATGCAAAAAGAAATAAAAACTCTTATTGATAACAGAAAAAACCATTTCTTTAAAATGTTATTTTTTCAGAAATGTTTGAATCATTTAATATTATGGATGTTATAGTTATTGCAAATAAAATTCTAGTGTTAGATTTTATTGTTTTGATAATTAGTTAAGTTAAAAAAAAAAAAAACCATTCTTTCTGAGTGCAAATATGTAATTATACAATCTTTATTTTTATTTTTTTAAATAATGGAATTTATATAAACTAGCAAATAATTTTTAGAATTTAACATTTAAGTGAAAATTTGTGACATGTTTAAATTGTCCTTACAATGTTTCAGTAGTGAAATGTCTTACAGTTTTCCACTTTATGTAATAGAACATATTGATAATTGTAAGCATTATTTTATTATCATTCTTGTTCAATTACCTTACTAAATTAATATAGACTAATTTATGAAGTTTTTGCATGTAAATATTTTAAATAATTTGTTATTGTGAATAGGCAAGAGTGAACCTATAAGGAAAATGATTTTTTTTTTTTTTTTTTTTTTTAAATGCAAACAGGGAATGCTTGCACACTGGACAAAGAAAATAATTGTCGAAGAAGGCCATGCTGTACCACAGCTTGTTCATTTGCTGTAAGTATAATATTGCTTTTGCAAAACTTCAATGTGGCTATTTTGGATTTTAATAAAGTCTTGTATCAAAATTTACTAATTTTATCAAGGAAAATATAGGTACATTAGTAAGTCCATAGCTTAATAAAATAAAAAAACAAAATTTATTTTATGCAACAGACTTTTATCATAATCTCTGTCTTTATAAATCCATTTAAATCAACACTTTTCCATTAATCACATAGAACATTATATAGTGAAACTAATAATTTGAATTCTGTTAAACGTCAGATTATAGAATTATTGATACCACTTTGGGGATTTTTTCAAAATATTTGAATATGATATTTATTATCTTTTGGAGATTGCTGCTTGAATATGGAATATTAGAATGATTCCCAAATACTTTGAGTATAACATTGTACTGGAATAAATATTTTCAATCATATGATAATAAAACAATAGGTGAAGAGTGATTAAAGTTCATATTTTGACCCGTTTCATCTTCTAATAGGTCATTTCAAAATTCATTAATTTAACAAAAGAAAATGCATTTATTTTAATTAAAAAAAATTTTTTTGTTGGCTTGAAATTTAAAGTAAAAACAAAAAAAAAGACACACACTTATTTTATATTTGACACATTTTATTTTTTGGCTTTCAAAAATTTTAATAAAAAAGGGTATTTTTTTTAATTACTGTGCAGTCCAATTTAAATTTTGTGTCACTTTTTATTTATAAATTCTTTGAAAAATGTTGCCCATAACAGCCTTTGCCTAACATAGCAAATTTTGAGTAAACCTTGAATAAATGATTAAAAATACAATTATTTACTATGTTTTGTGATTGCCAGAAAGAAACTAAAATTTTATGACAAATACAAAATCATTTTTTTTTTTTTTAAAAAAAAAAAAAAAAAAAAACTAACACAAAGAATTTAAAAATTTGTATTGTAAATATTTCAATATATAAAGAAATTCTGGTTTCTTTTTTTTTTTTCTTTTTTTCAGGCAATTAGTTGTTAGACATTACAAAGTTTACTATCCAGTAAGGCATCATCTTATACAGCACATGGTTAGTTCTTTGCAACGATTGGGCTTCACTCCTAGCGTGAGTATTTTTATTTTTTACCTATCTAAAACATTTTTGTTTATCATTATGTTATCAGTTAAACTAATCATAATTCTAATTGTCTAAACCCATAGTAGAATTAGACCAGAAATAGAAAAACAGTGTGCCTGGAACAAGGAATACTTTCAGGAATAAGCAATGTTTATTTAATGGCATATCAACTCCTTATGGGTCATTTAATGTTGAAATTTAATTTTCTTGGGAGCATTAGTAATTTCTTTTACAAAGATGTATTACTGGTAATTATTATTTTTGTTTTTATTATAAAAATGTATTACTGGTATTTTTACTATAAAAATGTCTTTTTATACTCTTATACCAAGAATGAGGTGTATTACAAAGATGTTTTCTTTCATTGGATTTAACTTGTACAGCAAGGTGATTCTAAGATGAATAAAAGATATAACAGCATTTATCATCAGTAGATATATTCATAACATGCTCTTCAGATAACCCTGCATTAATGGTAGATTCAGAAGAGAAATTGGAAGAGCTCCAAGACAAGTTTTTTGAAGAAAGGATGAAAAATTAATTGTAAGACAACGTATCTGGTTGTCAGTATAAGGTGTGAGTTACATCATGGTGACATCAAACCCATATGAATTGATGTGCTACTAAAGAAAAACCACAAAAAAATTGGTGACTTCAAGATCAAAAGTAGTATAGTAATAGATAATAAAAATGTGATACAGAAATTTGAAGGCATGTTGGAATTGTAAAGATTTTCAAAATTTGAAGCAAGAATTAAAGGATAAAAAAATGAATTAGAAATGAAGTAATGTAACATCTTCTCTCTTATATAACCGGTAAGTGTTGGATAGTTTCATCTCAAATAAAGAAAGAACTTGATGTGACTAAGATGTGGCTTTATTGATAAATGTTGAGAATATCATGGACAGATTATGTGAGAAATGAGGAAGCTTTAAGGCAAATTAGAATTAAAAAGAAATTATTGCTGGCAATCAGACAGCTTAAATTATTATGGTACATAAAAGAAAGTCTTCCAAATTTAACTCTTGTACAGTCCATCGAATGTAAGATAACCAGAGTAAAACATTGAGTAACTTTCTTGACAAATTTGAATACCTGAAATGTGGATTAAGTAACACCAGTTGCTGGGGAGTCATGAAGGTGCAAGTGTTGTTGAAAAAAGATGACAAATTAAGAGGAATTTTTTTGCATTTTTGAAGTTGGGACAAGGCCAAATCTGAAATATATTTTGTATTCTTGCAACACAGTAAGGATCTTGTTTTATACAAGGTGTGGCAGGAATATCTCCCACATAATAGTATGACATTAGTTGCAATACACAGTATTGGCAAACTTATATATATATATATATATATATATATATATATATATATACTTTTTTTACTCTTCTAAGAACATTTTTAGTTATTAGCCAATTAAATTCTTACAAAATTTCAAAATTATTTTTCTTGAAGAAAAGCATGGATTTTTTTTTTTTGTGGACTTATTTCCCCATTGACACTTTGAAATACAAATGACAATATACATACAAACAAAGGAGCTCTGTGTAGCTTGCTTTTAATATTTTGCAAGAACCTCACATTATAAATTCTTTACTCTGACTGCAAAATACAGATTATTTTCTTGTTAGTCATTTTGTAGTTTGTTAATTTTGTCTATATTTTTACACCATTTTAAAAGCTATTATTTTTGCTTATTACAGCATTCATTTGAACACAGAAAACTTGCTGTGGAACTGTCGGAGGTGATCATTAAATGGGAAATGCAAAGAATCAAAGATGATCAAGAACAAAATACTGATGTGAGTTATTTTTCATGTATTTGCTGCTTTCAGAAGATTGTCTCTGCTCATCATATGAAAGTATTCAATTATATCCATGAATTCTCTTTGTTTATGGAGAATTTCTTTTGTATGTAGAGCAACATTTTATTGTATTTCTTTTTCTCAAGAAAAACTTGGATCAATAATTTAAAGAACCAATTAAAAAGTTGGTGATTTATTCTTGTTGAGAAAGTTGTTTTTGATTTTTTCCATATAAAATCTGAATAGAGAAACATAATTTTCTGACACCACATGTTCTCTTTCAGAGTTTAAGAGAAGTAAAACTTAGCTTTCTATTTTGAAAGCAAATTCGATTGTTTTGCAATGATTTATAAGACTAGAATCACAAAATTGTTCTTCAAAGTGAAATGTTTTTTATGCTAATTTATAAATTTGTGAATTCTTTTCAGACCCTGCGAAATGCAACTGATGTTAATAAGCCAATTGACAAGCAGTACTGTGATGCAGTAGTAAACTTTCTACTTAGGATTGCTTGTCAGGTAAGGAAATCATCGTCACTATCTATTGGCTTAGGAGTGTGTAGTAAGGGAGAGCAAGAAGAAGGACTAACTATTAATTCTAAGGAGACTATATGAGAAATGAGGAAGTCTTAAGGAAAATAGGAAAAACAAAGAAACTTAAACTTTGAAAGAAATGGATAACATTTCTGAGACATATAATGAGGAAAGTATCTAGAAAAGTTAACATTCACAGGATATTGAAGGTAAGAGAAGTGGAGAGACACCTGAGTTTGTATAGATGAACAGGAACAAAGAGGCATAGTAAAGGATAAAAAAAATTACTTTGAGCAACAAAAGACAGGAGCTTGTGGTGAAACATGACTGTGTCTTAAAAGCCTATAAAAGAGTTGGAAAATATTTGTACATATTAATGGTAGCATTTTCAGGTGTGGCTTTTTTGGTTTTTCATTTATCAAGTAGATGTTTGCTTTAGGAAATGCAGCTAAGATTCTTGTGTAAGAAATTTGCCACTTTTGGCTTTTTAATATCCAAAACATTAATGAAATTAAAATGAAGATCAAAATCTTAACAAATGAGGGGAAAAAATGTTAAAATTTTAATGTTTTTTTCCAGATAAGATCTGTTGCTCCAAGCAATGTGATAAAGCCACTAAGGGACCGAGTGTGAAGAAATCTGAGGAAAAAAAAAGATAATAATCGACATTAAATTAATATTTTTGAAGATCAAAGTTGAATAGAAATCCAGAAGCTGAAAAAGAGTTAAAAAGTGAGAAGTACAAGAGATGAAACTGTTAGCATAGAACTTAGGTTTACATCTAGCCAATTTCAATTGTAAAATGATGAGACCTAACTGACTATCTAATACCTTTTTAAAATGTTCTTTGCCAAAAGGTTTATAACATCTAATGTTAATTTTTATTAAAGTATATATTTAGTAAATAGTGTTATATGATTAAGTAATAAAAAGCAATGTAAAGATGATATTCTTATAACAGAATTTCATATCCATGGATAGTAGAAATGAAATTGACAAAAAGCAAAATGCCATGTTAAATGATTTTTAATGTATAAAAAAACTCATTTCCATTTAAAATTTAAGATGTTTTAAAAAGAACAGATTTTACTCCCACTCAGCATCTAAAAATGTCACATTGCATCGCCTATTTTTGTGGTATTTTTAAGCTCCTTTGCTACAATGAGTTACTTCCACAAACAATTAATGCCACTCAAATAGGTATAGGTTTTCTGAAAGTAAAATTCCATTAAATATTATGCAGTGGAACCATTTCAAGTTGTAACAAACTGTATTTTCCTCTTTCCTTTTTGTCTATGTTGAAAGGTTTGCTGTCTATCATCTTTTTGTAGGATGTAAAATTTTTCAAAGACTGGATTAGATATTTTTGACTCGAAATTTATTTTTGTAGGTAAATGAGCCATCAGCGATTGCAGCCCAGGGAGAATTACTTTCTCGGCGTTGTTTTAATTTGCTCAAAACTGTCATGAACAGAGATGTCTGGCCTAATGTGGAATTGAAACTTGCTTGGTTTGACAAACTTCTGAATACTGTAGAAAGTCATCAACCGAATTTTGCTAATATTTGTACAGCAATGGAATTACTGACTTTCCTCCTGGGCATTATGGTAAGTACTTGAATAATGATTGCTTGTAATTTTGGTCCTTTTTATAAGTGATGGAAAGCAGTATAGTCAATCATTTTTGTTTTTATATGTGATTAAAAGAAAACCGTGGGCAGATTCATTCTGTTGTTTCTAACATGAAATGGTTGATAGAATAGTCTAGAATGTGCTTGTTACAGATTAGTGTACTTACCTTTGAATTGGGCACATGCTGTTGGTAATTATTCAGGGTAGGCAGCTTATAACCTTTATGTAATAAATCGACAAAAAAATAAAACATTTTGTATTTTATGCATAATAATCAAAGTAATCTTCATAATTTTGTTGGATTAGGTGCATATAATGTGCCACAGAAGGAAAATGTAGCTGCTGATCTATTTTATTCAGGGTAGGCACTGTCTACCTAGATACCATGTCCCTGCTTTGAATACATATGAAGTCAGTGGCAGTGGACAAGAGAGAAGAGCAGGCCAACAAAGTGGAAAAGTGGATGTGAGGCTATTTGAACTTATGGCTTTGTATATATATATATATATATAAAAGTGAACATTGAAGTCTACACTCAGAGGCGACAGGCTGTTTTATGTTAGACTAAAAAAAAAAAAAACTATAATCCCAGTATAATATGCCAGCTATATATATATATATATATATATATATATATATATATTCAAATTACATAATGGTCTGTCTATAATCAGCACCTGAAGATTGTATTGTGCATAAAACTCTGTCATACTAACTGTGAGAGATATATATATTTATTAATATATACTTAATAGCTCTGTTGTATTACATTGACCACTGTTTTATTAGTACCAGCACTATGTGCAAAATATATATATATATATATATTGCTAATTAATAACATTTGTTTCTATTTCAGAAAAAAGAGAATATTTTAGCAAGTTTTAAACCCCTTCAACGTGGTATTGCTGCATGTTTAACATGTCCCAATCCCAAGGTTATCCGGACTGTTCATGCTTTGTTGTCCCGTCTGATGAGCATTTTCCCAACTGAATCAGCAACAGCTTCTATGGCCTCTAAATATGAGGAACTTGAATGCCTCTATGCATGTGTTAGCAAAGTTGTCTATGATGGACTCTCAAACTATGAGAAGTAAGTGTCTTTCTAATTCCCTAATTTTATACTATATTTAATTTTTTATTTTATGCCAGCTCAGGTGTATTTGATGATTTGTGTTAATTTTTATTGTAAAGTATATAACAAATAACATTTCTCCCTGCATTTACAGGTTCACCATTCCTAAATTACTTTCACTCCTAATCGAGACTATTCCTAGGTACGACGGTAAACTACATTTGGCAGCAAGTCCTCTGATTGGGAAATTGGAGTTTTGAAGAGTGTAGAAGCACCTCTTAATTGCTGTTGTTCCCAGGTCTACTCTGAACTGGGGTGGTAGCACTTGTTAGAGTCCCAGCTATGGGCAAATAATGAACTCACAAACAAAAACAAAATACTATGAACGTATAAAAATGCATTAAAACGCATTTTTGTATGAAAATTGCGAACAATATCTATTTATAGTAAAATTACCAACAGTACATTTTATCTGTAGTTGAAGCCATAAAATTGTGTTCAAAATATATAGATTTCAGCATTAAATAACCCAGAGGTTGATATGCTGCTAAACAAAATCAATCTATCAACCAAACAACTAACATGAAAGAACTCTTTTGCGACTTCAACCCATATAATATCCTACAATTTCTTAAAGAAATCAAACCCTATTTCAAACTATAACTTCAACAAAACTACAACATAAAACATACATATCACCACCTCTAGCAATTATGTCTACATAAACTTATATATACACAAGCTGAGTATCATTTACCACATATTGTGAATATTTTTTATTACTCTAAAGTTCCTAAGAAAATTGTCAGCATTAAATAACCCATAAGAAGTTGATATGCTGTTAAACAAATTAAAATCCTAATCCAGACATAATTTCAAACAATATAAATTGAAATTTCCTTCATTACACCAACTACTGTTTTAACATGAGAATATCATTGAGCTTTAACGATCTCTCTTCAATGAAAGAAATTCTTGTCTCTGTAAATACCAATCACATTATTTAATAATAGGTAAAGTTGGAACACTTAATGTCTCTTCTTTTTAATCTAAATTGTTTTACAATGTATTTTGCTGGATCAGGTCCAGATTGGTCAGGGTGGTTGAATTGTAATCAATTTGTTTTATTATTTATTGTATTTTTCAGCTCTTTTTAAGGTTGAAAGAGGAGGATGCTTTAAAAAAAATATGGTGAAAACAAATGGCATATAAAACATACTGAAAAAAAAATTTTAGATTACCATATTTGATTAATGTTTGGGGAATTCAAATAGTGCATACAAACTGAGTGTAATACACGCTTTTACCACTACCATTTGTAATCCGTTTTGATGGCTCCCAAAAAGAGGACTACTTACATAGATGTTGGAATCTGGGTATTAGGTGTAGTAATTTTCTTTTATGGTCAAATTTTCTGAGCTTGCATAATAGCTGATTCACAGGATTCTAATTTGTTTTACAGTTTTCAATTGGCAAAAATCATTGAAATAAAACATTTTTTGATCTTTTTTATATTTATTGGTATATGATCTTGTATCTCATGACTCAAATCATTTTGTTTTATGCAGATCCAATGGAACTCCTCACAACATCCTGTTTTCAACTCTAATGATTTTAAAAGCTGCGTGCATGCATAATCCATGCTATATAGACAGATTGATTACTACATTCATGAAAGTGCTACAAAAAATGGCTCGAGAACATCTTACAGCGAGTAATACAGAAGCTAATCCTGGTGAGTTTTTATATATGATAATGACTTGTTAAAGAGTATGACCATTGCTGACAAGTTTGATCAATTTTTTTGGTTCTCATGGCAATAACTCTTGAAGACTGCAAGTGACTTACAATGCTGATTGCAGATGTTGTTTTGTACAAAACCTGGCCTGTTTTGTGGATTTCATGTAACAAATAAGACTGGATTGGTTTCTTCTGCAGGTTTTCTGGCATGTTCTGCATATCAAGTTATTTCCAGCGTAGTACTGATCATAATTTATGAAAGGTCTGCCAATATGATTCTTCTTGTGACTCTGGAGGCCTGCATTGGAGAGATATACTCTGCCATATTCTTTTTTACATGTAAACTGATGAATTACTGGATAAA